CATCAGGACAACAAGAATCTTGGCAAAACAAGAATTGAGACGTAGAAAGCTACAATGGTACAATCAGCTGACCTGACAATTAAAGCACCGATGAGAAACTAGGGATTCATATTAATTTACCTGAAATGGTAATGTCCAAGTCCATGCTTGACACCGCGTTTGAATTCGCCAACATATCGACTTCCATCCTCGCAGGTATGGATTCCACAGCCATGGCTCTGCCCATTATACCACTCACCAGCATAAACATCCCCAGTGTAGAACCAATAAACTCCAAATCCATGCCTAATACCCTGCCTAAACTGCCCTCGATACCGGCTTCCTCTTGCCCATGTTTCGACCCCATAGCCGTCATACTTCCCGTCTACCCAATCCCCCTCGTATCGTCCACTCAAATAATAGTAATACACCCCGCTCCCCAAACATTTCCCTTCATGGAATTCCCCTTCGTAAACGTCTCCGTTGCTATAAACTTGAACCCAACACCCCGAATTCCGTCTCTTATCGGATTTCGGCCGAGACCCAATTGACCAGAACACCGGCAAGTGCGACCTTGATAATGAATAAGAAGGCTTGAGCTTAATCGGAAACGAACGGGCTAAGAACAATCGAATAGAAGGGAGGCGACGAAGGGCGAGGTTAAGGGAGAAAAGAAGGGCAACGGAGAAAGGGAAAACCGTTAGGAAATCAAGTAAAAAAGAGTGGGTTGAAGGTGAAACAAGGAAGAACAAGAAAGGGAGAGACAAAAGGAGGATTAAGCGCAGGTAAACTCGAACACGATGCAGGTGTTTGAAACGGTGGATGGTTCGATAAAGGGATGATTTAGCAGCAACGGAGAAGGAAAAGAAGGGCGCCGTATTCCGGGAATTGAACCGCGGGGGCGTGGTAAAACAGTACAAAGTTGGGGATTTGGTGAGAGATGGCGTTTGGGTCAGAAGGGGCCTCTTGTAAGGGGTCAGAAGGGGCCTCTTGTATGGGGTCGGAGAAGAGGAAGACGAAGGCGGAGGAGGCGTGGTGGCTTCATTTTCAGACGGGCTCTGAGTAATTATCTGAGGGAAAACGTAAACCGGGGACGACGTACTGGTGGTGGTGGGAGTGGCAGTTGGGCCGGATAGCTGGTGGTAATTGAAATGCTGTAGGTGGTGGAGTGGGAGATGGTGGCGGTGAAAGGTAGAAGGTTGGGGATTAAAACCGGAAGAGACGCCACTGCTTTCTTTTCCGATCTGAATTTCGGATTTCTTCTGATGCATTACATACGTGGGAAACAATTCACTCCTTTTCTTCGTACCCTTTGCTTTGAATAGAATGGAAATTTGGGATTTTTCTTTTTCCTTTTGGTTATTTTCCTTCCTTTACATTTGTGTGTAGAGGAGACATTTTCTCTTCTTCACTCTAAAACTGTCCAAGCCAACGAGAAGATAGAGGTTATTAAATAGTTTAATTTAAAATATTACCAGACTTAACTCGATTAAAACTCTAACTTTAAGAACGTAAAAATCTTATATTATATTTAAAAAATAGCGTATAAATATTGATATTATTAATAATTTAATTTAATATATTATTTTTTATTGTTCAAGGATTTTTCGAACCGGGTATTAAATAATTCGTTTCGATTTTTTAAGAATTCGAGTTAAATTTGAATTAGAGTTAAGTTAATTCAATTAAAATATTGACCGAACTTTAACGAATCAAAATCGAGTAACTCTCGACCTTGTATTATTTATAGCCATAGTCTTCATTTCTATAGGATAAGTTACAGCAGCAAAGGGATTAAATTCTTATTTTTGTTAACAAAGTGGATGGATGAAAATAAAAATCAAAGCAAAGGGATTAAATTCATATATTTGACGAAGTGGATGGTTGGAAATCGGAATTAAACCCTTTAAACTTTCTTCTACTCTAGATTTAGTTGCGATCGGGAGTTGTTAAAAAGTGGCTGCTCTAAACTACCAATGGTATGCATCGGCCGCCGCTTCTCAGATCTTTCGTTAAGTCGGCGCCATCTCTCTTCGTATCAAATTACCTTAACGCCATTCCCTTCATTTAATTTTTTATTCCTAAAACAAAATGAGCCTTTTACGTCAATCAAATAGTTAATATCAAAATAAGGGTTTAAATTATATTATTTTTCATGAATAATGATCTAAATTATTTTTTACTCATCTTAATGTTTAACGTTATAAAATTATCATTTTATGTATGTAAACCGTCAACAACATTAATTTTTTATGTAACACATGTTATAATCTGGTTGTCTTGATTTCTTTTTAAAAATATTTAAAATATTATTATATTTATAAAAACACTTCAATTATAAAAAAAATCTCTAAATCTTTAAAATTCCCAAATTCTAACATTAACCCGTCGTCATCCTTTTCGGCCATTATCACCGCCGCCTATGTAGTTCGTTCCATCCTCCTAGACATAGTCATCGTAGTTGTTGTCGATTGACCGTCAGAATCGTGTGAGATCGTGATTTTCATCTTAGGGTTTGCGGGGTATAAAACTTCGATTTGTTTTTGATCGATCACGATTTCATAAGGGTTTTGATCGTCGGGAGTTGAAATGAAGATTTTCAAAGTTTTTAGGTTATTTCAAAATTTTATTTTTTTAAAATATTTATAATTTTATTTTTAAATTTTAAATAATTTTTTAAAATTATCAGATTGTAACATGTGTCACTTAACAGGAAAATTAACATCGTTGACTCGAGCACCTAAAGTGATATCATTTATAGTGTTATACATTAAAATAAGTCAAAAATATTTTAGACACCTATTTTTTAAAAATAATATAATTTGAGCAATTATTTTGATACTATGCATCAAACAAATATTGGGCTGACCCAATTGCCCCCACCACCCACCATCATTTGCCCTTTTTCTGCCGCCTTCATCATAGTTATTCAATATAATTATTCACTTGTTATGTTCTGTGTATTATTATTTTTCATCCATTCATTACTCTTCGATATAAATTTAATCATCATTTATAAATAAAATTTATATAATCTATAATTATATACTTGTAGTTATGATTAATAAGATGCTAGTTTAACAGTAAAGTTTATATTTTGAGAACCTCTGAGTCACAAAGGTCAAGTTACATCCAAGGTTATATGTGGGTTTTGGTAAAAATATTTATAGTTATATGGATGTAGCAATTTAAATTGCAGTTGTGAGTTTAAAAAAATATTTGCTCTGGTAGTGTAATTAGGGATTAAAACGGATTAGATTAGGGTCGAGTTTTTAGTTAATTCGATTCGACTTGAAAATATCTATCCTCAAATGGAACTCGATACGACTCGAAGATTTTATATCATACATCCGACTTAACTTTTTAGAGTATCAATATGCCCAACCTTACCCGATCTTATATAAATTAAATATTTAATTAAATAATAATATTTTTTTTAAAGAAATTACGTTATTATGCTCGGGTTGGAATTTTTCACTATCTATCCGAACTTGATTCGACTCGACTCGAACCTAAATTTCTTTTTTAAAAAATTAACTTTATCAAGTCGATTGAATCGAAACCCATCATATATGAGTTAAATCGGCATCCTAAGTGTAATTTCCCTTACCAACTCATTTGGGATTTTGAAATAAAAAAGGATATTTAGGGAATGTTGTAATCATGGCATGCCTACTTTTGGCAACTAGTGCAAATAATTGATCTTTAGGTGGATATCAAAGTGTTAATACCAAAGCTAATTTCGGCAGTTCATGCAGAATATGAGACACCTATATAAGTCGATAAAGAAAATGACATGCCAAATTGAGATGATGTATGAGAGATAAGGAACCCACTTGTATAAAAATGCTTGTTTTATCTGGAAAAAAAAAATAGACATGATTTAAGCAACTTTGACTTTGAGAAGAAAGGGAAACCTTTTTTATCCTTTAAGCTTCACTGCTTAACCTAACCCCACTCTCGTGTTAGGAATCAATTCGTTTTACGCTTAATGTATTTTTTTGGTTCTTAAAGTATACATCGATTTAACTTTTTTTTTTCAAAGCACAAGAGTTCAACGTTAGATTTTTAGGTCTTTAGATTATAACAACCGTTAAATTTGATTATTATCTGACACGTGTCACATATATAAAATTAAAAAAAAAGGATTTTAAAAAAGATTTAACATTATAATTAAAAAAACCCCAAAGTTTCACCGTCGATCAATCACCATTAGTTCGTAGTCATCATAGCTGACACCATCAAGACTGTTTTGCGGGCGTGACCAAACTCAGTCCCCCATCTACCGTGAAATTATGTCAATTGTCATAAAAAATGTTATGAAGGGTTGTTAATTTTCTAAGTTTTCCTTTGATGGTTTTCGACAATTTTGATGGCTGCAACTGATCGTACGTTACACGGTCGTCACTATTGAGTTTCTTTCCTTGTTTCGAACAAGTCCCAACCGATGGTGACCCTTCATCGTTGTCGGAGGTGAGGGATGGAAGGGAGAGCAACGACGGGTGATTTTTTTTAAGTTTTTTAAAAATAATATTTTATTATTAAAAATAAAAATATTAAAAAATATTAAACACTTATTTTTTAGGAAAAAAATTTTAAATACTAAAAATTAATTTGATATATAATTTAGACATCTAAACTTAGTTTTATCGTGAAGGTATCCGACCAATTTTACCTCTTGATGTTGATAGGCAAGTGCGACATACTGCCAAGGATGGTGACATGTGGTGCTGCATGGATCACATCACAAAACATGACATGTTAGGAAGGTGGTCGGTCTCTTTTTCTTAAGTTGGGTAGGCTTAGCCATGGGACAACCCTTGCGTGTGGGTTAATGTCGAAACTTGAAACACCCTTCGAGGCAGACGGCAGCAATCAATGGTTCCTCAACAAGTTAAGGCTCTGGAAATGAAGTTGATCCACAGTCACACACACGGTTAAGCAAAATATATGTTGGTTGTATTTAAATTGCAGAAATATACATTAATATAATCAAATACATTACATAAAACTCTCTCTATATGTGTGTGTTTGTGCTATTTCGAAATAGGACGTTTTCATATCGGCATGTCGATCGTGACAACCGTCGCCGTTGGAACCCTGCTTCACCTTACACTGCAGGGCATCCCATTGCATTTGTAAGAAGCACCAAAGCTCAAATGAATTGCCTCTGCAGTGCAGACCAGACTATATGAAAGATGAACTCTTGATATACACCGGTTCAGGGCTTGTGGATCTTGAAGCCGAAAACTCTGGGGATGTATTTTTGCATCGGCTTCTGTGGCTTTAGGTGCAGATACGTCATCTGAAATAGATGCGGAAATGTCGTCCCGACGTAAGCTCCGTCATTATCTTGTTAAATACGTCAAAGGAAACGAAGCTGTGAATCAAAGTAATACAAGCATGGTCTTCTAACATGAAATATGAAGAACCAATAAGACGCGCGATACATCTTACAGGCCGAAAGACACTGCATATGCATATATTAAAATTATATCGATATCATAATCTTTTGGAGGGACCATGGGAATATATTTACAATGCAAAGACAAGGGGAAAGAATAGCATGTCTCGCACTAGAGTATATGCAGACTCGACCCACCAAACCCATCATCTTATATTGAGTGAAGAATGTAATTAAATAAAGTCGAAAACCGATTCGGGACCGAATGTAGTGAAATAAGTACAACCAAATAATGACAATTCTGATTATCCTCTAGGATAAAATATTTATAAGCAATGCAAGTTCTGATATGATCTAAGAGATCCTAATGATTACATTATCTTTTCAAAGAACTGAGTAATCATATAAGACATGGTAGGGATAACTTAATATGCAAGGGCAAAGAGGGTAGTGCAAAACACATAAAAATAGTCCATGTTATATAAAGGATACTGCCTTGATATTTGGATCGAGGGTAATATATATCTTCACACTTTGGACAGTAGATTTTCACGGTATTTGAACGAGGAATATCGGATTGACCAACCGGAAGGCAAGATTGTCCACAGCAATAAACTCTAGGGCATCTTCCAAAATCGTAGTTTCTGTATTTCTCCAACTGAGATAGACGTTACGAGCACACAACTTTGAGAACGAGATACGACTAAGTCGATAGAAAGCAAAGAGAAAACAAATGACAGCAATATTTACCATAGCAGACATTACCTTGCTAGTTAATATGTAACGTACGTGTATAAGACCATACAACATCTCAGCAGCCGATTCAACCAATTCATTCTGTTCTTCAGTGAACATGTCGCCTATAAAATCCAAAGGACATCTACTTAGTAGCAAGAACAAATGGCCATTGATGGCTGTTGATTTACTTGAGTATCACAGAGCATTGTTAAAAGCATGATAAAAGTAGGTAATTATACCGACATTATGACCGCGAACTATAAGGTCAAAATGCCATAAAAAGCAAGGTTTAAAACAATTGCCCCAACATAGTTCCTCAATTCACTAGGTGTCAAATTTCTTATGTTGACATTTTGCTGCAAAACTAAAAACACAAAGTAAAAAGAAAATGTTTTTCAAAACAACAAACCATTGTCTCAAGCAGGAGCTGTTCCGTGCACCGTGCTAATGGCTGATAGATCATAAGACGGCAGTTCAGCATTGCGAATCGACAAGATCAATGAACAAGTCTCGATCACTACAAAAGGAAGGTATATAACTAGTTTGGCAACTGCAACATGATCAGATCGTCATCCAGTGAGTTATTGAGTCAGTGAAGAGCCGTCTACTTGGGGATCCCAATTAACCGAACAAACAAAATTAAGTAGGCTGTCTTGCACCTTATTTCCCAGAATTTTTTTATCTACTCTTCTAAACTCTTTCCTGGCCAGAATCCTCATGAAGATCCAAAAGCAAAACTATCGAACTTTATACCCCTCACCGAAGAGAAGATTTATGGGCGTAGGAGGCAAAAACATCTACTAAACAACGGCCTAAGTTTCGGAATTCAATAGCAACTCCTCAATCGATATCAAATCATCCAAAATTTACACACAAAAAATCATGTCAGTGAAATGCTTACTTTGTGAAGATTCAACATCCAATATCAAATCAAGAGCGTAATCATAATATGGAACTTGACTACTCAACCCGCAAAGATTAAAGTCATCTTGGATGTATTCTTCATCAACTTCACAAAAGAACTCATTGCCTCCCAAACCATAAAACCACGAGATCCAAGACATCTCATCTCCATCGGAAAGACTAATATCGGACTCTTCGCTGTCAGTTCCAGATTCCTCTGCAATCAAGGGCAGGAATTAAAAGAACATCATATTTTATGTTACCTGTTTATATCAATAATGACTAATGATATGAGATTCTCAATAGAAACATCACAAGGAAAACAAATGTAAGATTTACCATATAAATGAAGAAAAAAAACACATCCTAACTAAACATGGCAAGACTTGAAATTTTTATATCAAATAAAGCAAATATAACATATAACTTCAATGGAAGAGTATAACATACAAAATTTTCAAACTTCCGTACATGGAAATACAGATATATCTAAGCGCCATTATCCTATCATATTCATATCAAATTGAACAAGCCAATGCATTCGAAGGAACGGAAACAAAGGAAAGTGACTGAAAAGCAACTAACCAGGCTTTGGAACGTGAATCGCTATGAGAAAGGTGGGATTTACCGGCGGAAGCTGAAGGAACAGAGGGTCTGCCTTTGTCTTTGCCATTCCTCAATCCCCTCGTGGTTGAAGGAAGGTGGATGAAGATGGAAAGGAGGCAAAATGGGGGGATACAGAGAGAGAGAAATAACAAGGATTTCTTATTATCCAAGTCTCAGGCCCATAGAGAATCAGGCTTTACCTCTAAATTGTTATTAAATATTGCATGTGCCACTTACAATATTCTTTTTTTTGGCCAAAAGAAAATGAATTGAAAACGAAAACCTCGGCCAGGAAATTTAGGCCATGCTCCAAGGGGTCAATTTCAAGTTCCCTTTTAAAAAAATACATTAATTGAATTGAACTGGGGAGAGGATGGTTCACGGCGATTCATAAACAAAGGACCGAAGTGCATTCATACAATCATAAAGGTCACATTGCAAAGCATATCAAGGTAGAAGAGCTTTAAAAAATTTACAATTTCAAAATGTTGGTATCGATATGGGGTGAATACAATGTAGTATGTGTCCAAAGATTTAAACACTCATACCTCTAATATTTATAGTGCTCAAACGCATGACCTTAAGGAATAACAACAAATCTTTTAACTACTAAAGTCACTCGATTCATGCCACAAGTATACATAGAATTCTAAAATATGTACTAAACATAATATCTCCACAACATATACTTTAACCTTAAATAATCATAAACTAAACTTAACTTATTTTTTTATAAAGCATGACACGATTCACGTATTTACTACTCAACGTGATTATCGTCAAAACATCATAAAAACCTAGTAAAGAAAGCATGTTTAATATCATTTATGCAAATCACTAACTTTTTGTAAAACATGGCTTAAAATGCTACACAATACATGCATAGTCATCATTGTAATAGTTTAACTAAAAAGGGTTACACTGAAAATAGATTGAAATTGACCTGTAATCGTAAAAAGTGATTCTATACATTCTACGAAAATTAAAATCTAGAAAAAACAATCAAAACAAACCGAATAAATTTATATAGCTTACTTAGATAATCAAGACTAATAAAAGAAGATCAAAGGATGATAATTACCATAACAAGTTACATATATTTAACGTATAACATTAATAGCAATGATCAACATAGTTGGTTCAAGTGGTAAGTGTTGAGTATATAAAAGTACTATATTTTCTACCCCTTTTCTCATAATTATTGTTAGACTCCGGCTCATTTTAGTTGCATTATTAATCATTCATGCATGATTTCATAGTTTCCTTCGCCGTTAAGTTTGATACTACATTTTGGTTGATTTTGTGGAAAAGATGATGTTAGTGTGTGTTAATTTGTGCAAGTAAGGAATTACCTTGGCAAACAGAAATTGCCATGGCATTGGAGGCTGATTTCTAAAGGGAATGCCGAGTTGATTGCCAATGATGACGGGATAAGTCCACCTTATTTAAGATAAGCACGAAAAGCAAGGGATAAGTCCAAAAAATCTAAAATTCCACGCAGAGTTTTAAGGAGACAAGGAATTCAAATTTGCAAGGAATTTGAGGATAAAAATAAAAGATTATTCCAACTAAAACCCATCTTAATCAACAACCAATTCAACCTAATCATCTCCTATATATAATGATCAAATCCCAATCTACAAGGAGTGGCCGACTAGAGAGATAAAGGCTAAACGTCTTATTATTCTTTTCTTCTTGATTCATGTTGGGAATTTTTTTTTTTTTTTTGCACCCAACCATTAACTAAACTAAACTAAATTGACTTGGGTTATTGGGTATTTGTGGTTGTGAAAATGTTTGGATTTGTTTAAGTTCTTAATTTCCTTTTAAGTTTAAAGTTTGTTCATTCTTGGTTCTTTAATTGATTTCGAGTGAATTAGGAGAGGATCTTGAAATTTATCCATTTATCTAATATCGGGAGTGTTAGAGTCAAGAAACGAATGAACATGATCTTCATTCAAATGAAATGTTGGTGAAGGTTAATCCATCTTAGGGATAAGATTCGGATTTCAACAGCTAAAAGGAGTGCAAAATCGGTTGTTCTTCACCCATGGTTTAATGCAGGGATGTATTACCAAGGCATGCACAAGTGACCAGTTCTTTAAGATAGAGATAACAAGAAGACATTGAAGAACGCTTCGTTAAGCTTTGAAGGGAGGAACCCAATTGCTAAGGCAATTGAATCATTTTAAGTTGTCAAGGCAATCGAGTTACCTCAACAATCAGTTACCTAGACTATCCATACAGTTATCACACTGTAACTCATGATAACTCGGTCTTCTCTCTTATTCTATCACAATCTACTTTTATTTACTTGTTCATTTATTTTACTTATTATTCAAACTCCTATTATCACAAATTTTAATTCTCTTTACAGTGCAATAAGTTAGAATTCAGAGTTTCACCAATCCCTGTAGAGAATATATCTTTCTATACTATAACTTGCAACGTGTATACTTGCACCAATTGTGAAGACTTAAATCACACAATAAGTTTTTGGCGCCATTGACGGGGATTGACAATATCGATTTTTATTTTTATTTCTTGCACCTTAATTATTACTATTTTTTTTCTTTTCTTTTTTGTTTTTCTTTCTTTTCGGATTCAAGGAACTTACAATTTTTGGTTTTGTATCTGTGTATGAGCAAGATGAGATCAAGATCATCAAAGTACCCATTTGAACCCGAAATAAAGCCACTTTTTTGGTAGAAGAAGACGCGAACAATAAGCAACAATGGAAAACGATCCAGTGAACAACCCAAATGTCAGTAAGCCACTTGATATCGCTTAAGCATATTTCGAGTTCGAGTCATTGTATATATAGAAAATTCTCACTCGGAGACTTACCCACCAAAGTTAGTTGTGTGACCTATATTTATGTGTTGTTTTTTTAAAAAAAAATATAGTATAACATTTTCATGTACTTAAGGTTTATATTTGAGTTCCAATTTAAGCTTCATTCAAGTTAAGTTTATCATTTTTTTTTTATTTCGAACCTTTTTGAACTTCAATTTATGATTTCGAGTTCGAATCAAACTTGAAAATTTTAAAATCACGAATTTTCAAACCGAATCAAACTCAATAATACTCGAGTTAAACTCAACTCGTTTAAGATAAAGAGTGTAAGCTAAGAATCCAACCAAAATGTCGAATAGCAAGGGATCATTATGCGACATGTGTTGTTTATGTCATGTTATGCAGGGGCTGTCGTCACTCTCGGTAATAAAGTCTTCACTTCCACGGCAAGTCATTAATTGAATATATAGATTAGGAAATAAAGGTCTTTTGAGAAAGAAAGAAAGTAGCACGTGCGGCGCACAAAGTCAATAAATCTAATGGAAACCTTAAAAAAAAGAAACAGCTTTTTTTTGTCAAGAGCATATATATATATATATATATATATATATAGAGAGAGAGAGAGAATTCTTCAAAAAAGCAAAAATAAATTTGCTGAACAGTTTTCTTTTTTTGTTAAGAGCATATACATATAGATAGAGAGAGAGGATTCTTCAAAAAAAAAAAAAAAAGCAAAAATAAAGTTGTTGAATAAATATTACAGGTTCGAACACCGATAATTATAATAGATAATTGAATATTTATTATTGAATGATTAAGAGTATTTAAAATAAATATTACTTTATAATTATTTTAGTTTAATAAAAAATTGTTAAAACACATGATTGAACCTAAAGAGTTAGGTAAGCAAATCAAATCCTCAACATGAAAAAATTCAAATCTAAATTCGACTAGAATAAAAAAGTTACGAGCCTAAAATTATTAAACTCGAGTCAGACTCAAAATAAAAAATTAAAGCTCGACTTGAGCTCAAAAATTTTTAATTCAAAATATTCTCATACTTAGCTCGATTGAAGTTATAACTCGAATCTAAACCTTAAATATAAAAACATCATATTACATTTAAAAAAATATATAAATATTAGTATAATTAATAATTTAATTTAAAAATTAAAATGTAATATATTATTTTTCCAAACCACGTTTGAAGTGACTCATTTTGTCTTATTAAAAAATTAATTAAATTCGAACTTAAATTAAATCTATTCGATTTAAATGTTAACAAATTTAATCGAATTAAACTGAATAACTTTCTATCTGTCTCCTATTCTCGTCTCACAGAAAAATTCAATCGTTTAAGCGCGTGACGAGCGTCATTGAGTGTTTTAATGTTTATGTTTATTCCTTAAGGTTGACCTTTAGTTGGTCCAAGCTTGACCATATTCCACTGTCATTTTTAAGCTCTAGAGAGCGCATTGTCGACGCGCTGTCGCTTCTCGTGCTTAACACTAATCAGTATTACATGAACCGAAAATCGCGTGGAAATGAAAGCAAATTAGACATTGGAGTATTTGCCTTCCTTTTTCTCCTTTTGCCTCTCAGACAGCTCAGATTAAAGTGATCCACCATTTTTACTTTATTTCTTCCTTCCTCATAAAGCTCAGAGACAGTACACTTTTGTTAATTTTCTTGACTTTTGATCAAATCATCGCGCAGAAAATGGAGAATAAAAGAAACCCAGAAACCACTCAGGCTTGATTAGAGTTCAAGTTTTATGTGCAAACAATGAGTACTGCAACAGCTACAACAGCGGCGGCGGTGGCAGCAGCTACAACGCAAACGAAATTCATAAAATGTGTGACAGTTGGGGATGGAGCTGTGGGAAAGACTTGTCTCCTTATATCTTAGACAGGCAACACTTTTCCAACTGTATGTTATGACATTCTCTTCTTTGATCTTCTAGGAATCTGACCCCTGCATCTTTCATCTTTCTTTTTGTTTTCTCTGCATTGAATCTGTTTGTTAAATTGTAGTAATGGAGTTTTGGGGTACTTTGTGTTATGATTTACAGGATTATGTTCCTACTGTTTTTGATAACTTTAGCGCCAATGTAATGGTTGATGGGCAGACTGTCAATTTGGGTCTCTGGGATACTGCTGGTATATGCTTCTCTGCTTCTCTCATAATAATTTCTGCAGTTCTAATTGTTCAGTGTGGTGTGCTTAAATGATGCTAGTCCAGCTGTTTCAAAATTTGGAATTGCCATGGGATTTGCTGAATTATATCAGTTCACTGTTTTGCCAGAAGATAAAAG